TACAGGGAGTGTTGTCCACATAAAGACTCTTTATAGTTGATTTCAAAGTTTGGACTCCGTACAGTTGATTGTGGACCAATGGACTCTATATAGGGTGAAGCCAATTGGCTGGACTCTATACAGGGAGTGATGTCCATCTAAACTTTGAGCTCACAAGTTTGGACTCTGTACAGTGGATTTTGGACCAATGGACTCTATATAGGGGTTGGACATCATATAGGGGCTGGACGCTCTACTGAGTCGAACATATATTCTCTGGCAGACCACGACTGCATGTACCAACCGGTCACGGTGTGTGTTTATGATAGTATGTAGGACCCATAGCCGTAAGTGGTTTCAGGGGCTTCAACAAAGGGAAAACACAATCAAGAATGAGACACTTCAATTTCGTTCTTTCATGAACAATGCCAGCAAGAGCATGTGGGGAGAGGGGGGGGGGGGGGGGGAGGGGGGAAGGTCGATATTCCAAAACATGTTGTAGATTGGTACAAATGAATTTATCGTAACGGCGTAGACTGACTGAAAGGGTGAAGAGCCCTGCATGATGATTCTGTGTAGAGTTGGGCATGCATGGATGTGGCGAATGGGATTGTCGGTCTTTTACCTCTTTGTGGTGGGTCTGATCTACTCACCTCCCACAGCTTAGGAGCTGCATCTGCGCCTTGATCCAAGAGGGTGGTGGCGTCCCTGCAGACGCGGACAACTCGGCCTTTGGCCGAGTCTCATGAGAACCGTGAGAAACAATTTGACCACGCATGTAGACCTTATTGTCTTCCAATGTGTCAAGTGATCAACAACTGCTCTTGATAATATCTGTATTTAAGGTGCTTCTGTCTGTTTTTCTTTCCGTCTGCTAGTCCGGTTTTCTTCCTATACACATGCGCCCTTGCATGTGTGTGTGTGTATGTGTGAGTGTGTGCGTATGTGTATGTGTATGTGTGTGCATGTGTATGTGTGTGTGTTTGTGCATGGTCTCATCGCACTAGCGATGGGCGCCCAAGGTCCGAAGTCTGTTTATACGTCTATTTTGTGACTGCGTACGCGCAAGTGTGCCATGTGTGTCCAGTTGCGTACACGTCTCTGTGTCCACATATCTCTTCATGTTCTTATGCATTTTTCCATCTGTATCCCTATCTCTCTGTGGATGGTGACAACATTGATCTCCCATCACTATTACAATTTTGTTTTCAGGTCAATACGTAATCGTCGTCACCACCGTATCGTCTTCTGCCTGAGTACCAGCTTGCTGCTAGCGCTGTTACTGTTCACATTGGGAGTACGTGCAACGGCCAACAGAGCAGCATGCACAGCCATTGCCATGTTGCTGCACTTCCTATTTCTGCTGGCATTTGCGCTGACCTCGTTGGATGCCTTCTTGCTGTACAAACAACTGGTGAATCTGCTAACTGCTGTCAACCAGTCCACTGTGAAAGTAGCGTATGTGGTGACTGCAGGTAAGTCAAATGCATGGCAAGAAATTGGGAACTGTTTTCTGTTTATCACTCTCTTGATAGTTGAGACACATATTTCCAACTCACTGTAAGTCGTAGCACGGTCGAAAAAAAACTCAATCACTTCCAAAAAATCGACGGGTTCGCGTACCGGGCAGGTCAAGAACAAGGAGTCGTACAACTCCCTGGTCAAGAACCACCTTTTCGCTTCGTGGGACGCCACCACCCCATAATCAGTCGTCAGAATCACTTCCAAGCAGAACTTACAGTCTGTTTCAAAAAGATTTGCAATCCTGGTGATCGCCCGGGGAGTTTGCCGTCTTACCGTATGAGCCCTCGAGCGCTGCCTCGAAAAACTCACTGTGAACCCGAAGAAATATTCCGCGCGAATGCATGAAAATGACAACTCACTCACGTCGGTACACGTACGTCTGATTTACAACAAACGAGTTCTTCCTCGTATTGATATGGAGTCAGAGGGGACATGTCGAATGTGTGGTAAATGTTGACGAGCGGGATGGGTCCCAATTCGTTTTGTGCTCAAATAGTTTCTTTGAGCTGTGATGCAATTTACTCTCACCATGTGACGAAAATGACATCGACACAGACTCATTCCCAAGGCTATGATTTGGCAAAGCTATCCGTGTGACTTCGACAACATCTTGAGAAAAGCAGGCGCCTGTGATAGCTGATAGAAGACGGCGTTGACTCCTAAATTCAAATATATTGGCGATCTTGAAATATTAAAATAACTCTCAAAAATAAATCGATGGATCGATGTGCTGGTGTATTTAACAACGCGTAGCTACAGCGCAATGACTTCCGTGTTCACTCACACTGTTTCAGTGTTGTGGGTGTGTTCAGAATCACATGGCGTGATCCAGTCACCAGGGAAATGCCCCCCCCCTTGGTCTTTAGTATGATATGGGGTGGGAATCCGCCCATCGTTTGGATTAAATTTTGTCTTGTAGATCACCAAAACAATGAAAAAACAGTTTGACTCGAAGATAGTTTGGGATTTGAACTCACAACTTCATGGTCAGCAGACAGCATTCATAACCACAAGGCCAAAAAGGAAAGGATAAATCGTGGTTTTTTTATTCAAAAATCGATAATGGTTTCCAGGGCAAATTGTAAACCATGGGAAAGGCCGGAAACCTGGCCGAAATTCTAACTCCTTAACGGCTAGTCCAATTACTCCAAGACCTTCACAGAACAATTTGCCGTGTCCTAACAAGCCATTCTTTGTACTTTGTTGTCCAAATTTCCCTCATCTTCATACTTTTTAAGACCAAAACCTGATTGTAAATCTTTTTGAAATGTACTATAAAACCCGATGTTTCTCTCACACTGTCTAAGACAAACCTGACGTGGATGCCTACTAGAAACAAAGTGGCGGTGGATTTTTTGCTTTTCGGCCTTCTGGAAAGAACGCATTGTCAAACGCGTGACTTCAATTTTAGCTGTGGAACAAAAAATTGCGTCTCACCCCATATGTGCAAGTGCCACACTTTCTTGATCTGGACATGGATTTCCAGTGTTTAACGGTGTAAAAGTGATGTACTGAAGTTGCATTGTATTTGCTGTAAAACGTTATTCTAACATATAAGACTTTAAAAAAGGTTCCTCTCAAAAATATCACCTCAAGTGCACGCATTTTCCAAAGGTTATAGTTGATTTCAATGTGTGTTTTTCTAGGTATGCCACTATTCATTGTTGCCATCTCAGGAGGAATTGGAAGCTTCGACTTGTATGGCAGCGGAATATAGTAAGACGATGATGTGAATTCCTTTAGCGTATCCCTCTCTCGCTTTATGTCTTTCTCTCCCTCCATATCTGTCTCTCTGTCTGTCTTTGTGTCTGGCTGTCTTTATCTCTCTCTCTCAGCATCTCTCTCTGTCTCCCTCTCTCTTTCTTCTAGTGGCACAACTTTGGACTTGCGTATTGTCTATGCTGGGCTTTCCATGCAAGATAAGTCAGATGACACTGGCGATGCAAACCAAAACACATACAAAACCGTGTTGCCAACCGCCCGTATTTGTCCATATTTTTTACGGAAAAACGAAGTTTATCCGCGGTACAGATTTCAATCGAATATCCCGCAAACGTTCACGTGCATGTATAGTCGATTACTAAAACCTTCGTAGCTCCATAGTTCCTTGTTCAAATGCAACAATCGAAGGGTCTACGTTGTAGCAACAAATGCAAGCTGTCCAATGCAATAATCACTGAAGAGATACGATGTCGGACTTCACAGATATTGCGCTCCGTATTCAGGTATTCTTACCACGGAAAATCAAATGTTTGATCGATCTCTTCGCCGTTTTGGGGCGAAATCCCGTTTTGTGTGCTCTTTGAGCGACCGAGCACTTTATAATGATGTAGCCGACTGAGGTTTGAATCGCCTAGAAAAAAGTTGAGCGTTCTGCGATGAAGGAGAGTGGAATGGCGTTGATGGGGCGAATTTGCTTGCATATTAGGCTTAGAGACGATTTTGCTGTGCTACCGCGCCTGATTTGTACCGGCTTCATAATGGAGCTTGGCATCCTAGCGTTGCTCCTGCGAAGCGCTTTCCAACGAGCCCTAAATTGTGCAAATCAAGCAAAGTAGACCAAAGTAATGACCTGGCGAAGTTGAAAATTGTATTCGTAGGCTTCACAAGACGTGAAGCCTGTAGCTGGAAAGGTTGTACAGTATCGTTTTTTTTTCCAAATTTCACTAAATCAGTCAAAAATTTGTCCTGAAGAGAAAAACAACGCCGCAAATCTCTGAAAATTTCTGCCAAATGGCACGGGGCAGTACGCATCGGGGTAGAGGGCACTTGGTAGCACTGTACAATGGTACACACATAACACGCAGTAACACACCACTTAGGATCCTGAACTGTGATGTTTGTTCGTGTTTCTGATTCCTGCAGTTGTTGGATTGCCAACGATACTGTGTTCTACGTAGCGTTCATCGCTCCGATGTGTGTCTGGCTGCTCTCAAATATAGCAGTAATCGTACGAGTAGTAGTCTTGTTGCGCCATCACAGAAGCAGTGCGATAACAGGAAAGGCAAAAGACACGTCCAGTGTGTCGTATCTACTTCGAGTCGTCGTTGCATTGTCAGTTCTGCTAGGAATTTCCTGGCTGTTTGGTGCCCTGGTAGCCGTCTATGATCACCTCGCTCTTCAATTCATCTTTGCCATCACCAACACTCTGCAGGGACTGGGAATCTTTCTACACGTGTCACGTGACGTAGACGTGCGTACCACCTGGCGAGCATCCATTGCATCAGTGCTGCTGCATTTCCCCAGGCTCACAAGCACTTCCCAGCGCTCGACCAACGTAACAGGTAGCGCAGGATCTATACCGAACGCCTCGACCCACCGGCCGGGCAGCAGAAGTGAAAGGAACCCCACCATTGAAAATCCTGCTGCAGAGGGAAGAAACCTGGAGGATCGACAGCTTTCGGAAGAGGATAGGCAGCTGAGTAGTCAGCAATTATCCAGCATCACCAGTCTAACTCCTTTGGTTGGAATTTCTGATACAGGGTCCCTACAAACCACTACATTCCGTCTCAGAAGCACAGGCGAAATGCTGGAACTCTCAGAAACCCAGGAAGAAGGAAGTATGGGTCAGAGAGAAGAAGATGAAGAAGAAGACATTGTGTAACGCTGAGATGATACATTTCCATCACCGATTCTTCTCTGCTACCTCTGTATTCGTGTGTGTGTGTGTATGTGTGTGTGTGGGGGGGGGGGGGTTGTGTACAGAATATTATGTGTAGGTATGTGTGTGTACATGCACACGCGTCCGGGTATACATGTGTGTGTGTGTGTGCATGTGTGCGTATGTGTGTATGCATGTCTATAATTGTGTCTATCTCTGTCTGTTTATGTGTGTGTGTGTGCGCGTGCGTGTGCGTTTGTGTGTGTCTCTCTCTCTATTTATATATATCGCTCTCTCCCCACCCCTTTATCTTTGATTCTGTTCTTTCTGTTTCTCTTTTTTGCGGAGGCTGATGCCCCACAAAAAACCGCGATCCTTCTTACTTCATGTCCGCTTTGCTAGCCTCGGATGACTTTCCTGTGTAACGATTGCTTTCTGTAATGTCGTGTATAAAGGCAGATGCTTACAGCCGTATAAACCGATGTCAGTGCTAGTCTTCTATTCAAGTCAGTCTTCTATTCAAACCACGTATCTCTATGTATGTCAACACTAAACTAGGCTTACGTGCTGACAGTGTATCTTAAACATCAGGCTTGTGTTCTAAAACAAGCTTCTATACAAGACAGGCGGTTATCATGGTTATACAAGACACTACATTATGTAAAAAGTTGTGGACTACCGCAGATGCTGTTAGCTTTGTTTATCCAGTGGAACTCGCCTAGTACGAACATGTACAGTAGAACCTGGTGTAAGCGACCTCTGTGTTTAGCGACCTCTGTGTTTAGCGACCATCTGCTTTTAATGTCGTCTTTCCATGCACGGACAGTTCTATACAGCAACTGCACTGGATACAGCGACCATTTTAATCTGATAAGAAAATCATTAATTTTGAAAGTAAATACCGGCACATATTGTACACTTTCCAGTGTACAACTTTACCCCTACTGAATCTGTCTATCGGCTAGTTCTTTGCGTAAAGAGCACAATCATCAATATAATTATCGCTTTGGTCGAGTGGTTGTGGGCTTGCTTGCGAATCACAAGGTCCCGAGTTCGTGACCCCGTCTGGGAGCAGGAAGCGTGTACTGTGCTAACAAATGCGGTGATGCATGCGTGAACCACTTTACATGCAATGAACTGTGCCGGCACCCATGGTCAACTGGGTAGATCTACTCACTGCTCGGAGTGAGGGTAACATGGATGGAGCTAACAAGGTTCGCAGCCTTGTTGGGCATTGGTTGTGAGAGTTACCAACTCACCCTCACCGCTGCATCTGCCACCTTGGTATACCAGGCATTTGGTGGCCTGACGCCAGCGAAACTTCCTAAGCTGTTTGTGTTCTTCAAAACATTTGAGTCAGAAAGTGGTAACGGGCATGTGTAGTATCCCTGCCCGACCAATACGGAAGCAGTACGGAACTAATACGGAACGACCTTATGTTGTATCTCCGCATATAAGCGTACGGCGCCTGTTACATTGGTGGCAGCGGTGTAGTTTTAAATAAAACAACGTGATTCGACCCCAGACCCCCATGGCTCAACCCGCTGCAGCTCCCTGCGACGAATCAATATGAGAATCATGTTTCTTGCCTTCCTGGGCCTGGCCCTGCTTATTAGCTTGCAGCACAGTCAGGGTGCTAGCGTGGATCACCCTTCCCTCCGCATGGCATCCACTGGAGACTCCGATGGCGATTCCAAGCGACCCGCTACCTACATGTATACTACCGGTGGTGATGGCGACGCTGATGAGGACGACAACAGGCAGTCTGCTGCCCAAGACAAGGAGGGTAGTCCCCAAGACCAGCAGCGTTTGATTTTCGCCTTCACGCAGTCGGAAGCAGGAGCCCACTCTTCACTTGGTACTTCGCCTCCGTAGTGGGATGCAGATTTTCGTCATCACTCTTCCTGGCTAGACCATCACTCTTTGCGTCGCGCAAAGCGATGCTATTGACAATGTGAAGACCACGATTCAAGACGAGGAGGGAGGTCATTTGTCTGACGCCGAGCTAGCCGCTCTGAGTGACCGGCTCAACCAAGATGAAGATAAAACCTGGCTTGCCCTCCGCCGTAGCTCCAGCCGCCGCGGTGGTTACTAACGCTGATTCCAGGTATGGCATTTTCTTTCCTGTCTTCCTTCAGTCTCCCTATTCTCTTCAGTCTTCCTTTATGCGAGTGTGTGAATCCAGTTTAGTTTGGTAGGCGTCTGATCATGGTGAGCCACGGTTTACCTAAGTAACCTGGTGAGAGAAGTGTGTGAGAATCCCCTTTTACACTCCAGGTGTGTACCGGAGTAAGTTCCCAAGATGCAATGCATTTTTTTGAAATTGTGAATTTCCTGGCAGTTTGAGCTCGCGATGTGCAGAAATTTGGCTGTCTTTCACGTCCGGTTTGGAGGACCATTAGAGAGGTTAAGTTACACGTTTTTTGCCCTTTTTCAAAACGTGGTGCAAATCTCACGTTACGTGTAATTTTTAGAGGTTAAGTTACACGTGTGACGTGACGTGAAATTTTGCCTGGCAGGATTCGGGTTAGTTCGCACAAATATCAAATCTTCCAACAAACTCGATAAATCTCGATAAAATTCAGGAAACTCACACAAATTCGGTCGGGATAACCAAGCGAAACTTCCAAAAACTCACGTCATGAACTTACGTGCGGGACAGTCAACTCACGTAAAACACGTCAAATTTTACGTGAGTTTTTTCACTTTTTGACGTAAAAGTTCACGGACGTAAGACTTTTACGTGAAACTTAACCTCTCTAATCTTTCCCTTTTGACCCCGAGAGATCGTGTGAACCTGGTGTGCTTCTACTTTATGATTTGTCATCAGTTCATTTCTTCTGTCTACTCTAAACGTTATCATTTCCGATATAATTTACCATCTTCCGGTTGACGCTGTGTTCGTAACACTTCACTAATTTTTTGAAAATCACGAGGGCGTGATTATCTGTAGGAAGGTAGGGTGTAGTATCCCTGCCCGACCAATACGGAAGGAGTACGGAACTAATACGGAACGACCTTATGTTGTATCTCCGCATATAAGCGTACGGCGCCTGCTGCATAAAAGCAGCTGCGTTTTTCTGTTTTAATTAGATAAGATTAGATAGCAACGAAAGCTAACTCGAAGAAGAAGAAATCAGCCTCTAGGTGAGCACCGGAGAGAAAGTTATTTATTTGCCGCTTCTTCTTTCACTAATAATTATATCTCAGGTGTGTACCTGAGAGAAGTAGAATAAAACTAATTTTTTGTTGATTTCACCGCGCCTACCACTCGGCTACCCATTACACATGTGTGAACTTTATTTAATATTTCTATAATAAGAGGACCTAGGACGCCACCGAGTCTAATTATAACAAGGGATTGAAGCAAACAATAACGAACACAAACATGTACTAACTAATGGGACATGCAATGTTCTAACGCTCGTTTTACGTAAGGTCACAGTTGTCCGTATTATAAACAAGAAAACTCCCCTGGGACGATTTCGTAGAATTTTTTCTCGTTTTCCCACGTGGTGCCACAGCCATTTGGGGCGTTTCACATTGGGGTCTTGCCGAGTGTAAGCAGAATCAACGAGAGAGCTTGGAAGCTCAGGGCCCTACGCTATGCTTTTTTGCCTTGATGACCTAGACAAAAAAAAGCATAGGGATGTTATAAATTCTTTAAAAAAATCCTTTTTTTAGACATAACCTGGGATTCGAACCCGCACTATCGCGCGCCCTGCATGCCTCCCCCGATAAACTACTAATTCTTCCAAGTTGCTTCACGTTATGATCTTGCATTTGAAAGCCCTATTTGAATATGCATTGTGGCCAGCCGTCTTTGATGGTACGGTACGGTACGGGATAGGTACGGGAAAGGTACGATCGTGGGTAAGGCGACACCGTCTACCGCCTTGATAGTAGTAGTAGTAGTAGCAAGAGTCCATAAACACTGTTTATGCACTCTTGGTAGTAGTAGTAGTAGTATTTATTATTTGACTAGGGGAGTCCCAACAGGCATGGCCTTGTTACAGGGAACCCTAGGTGAATCTTTGTGAGGTGAGCAAAAGTACCAGCAGATTGTGCCTGACGACAGTTTGTAGGAAGAGTGTTCCACGGACCTGCAGCCAGAAAAGAAAATGAGCGCAGTCCATACCCAATAGATGTACATGCAGTAGGTAATACTAAGGCAGCTGTATCCTGGCCACGAGATTGATGTCAGCAAAAAGCATAGGGATATTATAAATTTTTCAATTCTCCTACTTTTTTCAGGCATATCCTGGGATTTGAACCCGCACTATCGCCCTTCATGCATTCCCCATACACTTCGCATTCATACCCATTCTTCCAAGTTGCTTCACGTTATGATCTTGCGTTTGAAAGCCCTATTTGAATATTGCGGCCAGCTGTATGTGGCCAGCTGTGTTTGATGGTACGGTACGGTACGGGACAGATACGGGATAGCGCCAGGCGTGACAAACACACAAACAAACAAACACACAAATACCAAATTAAAGCTGTGTGGACCCTGGCTAGCGCCAGACGTTACTGAAGTAACGTCTTCTGCATAGCTACGGGAATTAAAGACGGATTATAGCCGTGATAACAAGAAATTCAGGTGTTGGTAGGATTAGCTGTCTTCAGAGACGAGCAGATCACCACACGCGCCTTATCCCTATAATAACACATGCAAACCGCAGGACATTGAGAGCTCGTACGGACCGGCGACACAGCAATACCCATTGCTGAGACCCATACCAGCATTGGATTTCTCGTCATCGTGGTCAAGGCTGTCGGAGCCATACCCAATGCGGGGAACCGCGGAAGCTACCGTCAAGTTGCACTTCCTCGCTGGCCGAAGTCTAACAAGAACACTTCTCTTCCAGACAGAATTGAGAAATAGCGATGCACAGGTAGCTGGCTTCCTTGCCAAACCTCGTATCCTCAACACTTATAACCACGTGTTCCAACTACGCTTTCTCTTCCAGGAAGACTTGAACAATGGCGGGGTTGCTGACTTCCTTGCCAAGCCTCGCGTCCTCACCACTGAGAACAACTTGTTACTACCACCTGTTAGTAAGGCTTCTCAGAAGACGTTCCGTTACTCGTCCACTCGAACTAAAAAGCAGTACTACTGAAGGGCATAATTACGGCTTATTCGTGCTGTGTGCACCAGTTACATCCTTTTACGTTAAACAGGTAGATCTACACATCATAAAACCAGGTAAGTAAGTTGTACTCGCTAGTGCAAGAGACCAGCATGACCCATCTGACAGTGTACTGTCAAACCTGCAGCTTCTAATAATCACTGACATAAGACAGTCTGTTTGATATTGCATGGACGTCGTAACGCTAAATGGAAGACGAGAACTACTATGTGGCTCACGGCCGGAGACAAACAGATGGTGATCAATGGCAAATGCACGGTCAATGGTCAATGGGCAGAATTCATGTTCATGAGACATAAGACATTGCGTACTACGTAAGAGCTGATGAAAAATATTAAAGACCGTGCTGCTCCCGAAATATTGTGTATAAGTAAAATGTTTCTGTGGAGATAAGAATGATATCAACGCAATGGAACAATATTATTATAAGATTTGAACGTCGTTTTCATAAACACTGAGCAGGCAGGCATAGTGGGATGGTCTAAGACCATGATTGAGAAACAAAGGGTACCAGGTTCAAGTCCTGCTTGGAAGCGGAAGGATTTTGTCCAGCCGTGCTGCGACCCACAGTTAATTGGGAACTCGTGGCCTGGCACGAGGAAAACATGGATGCAGTGAATGGGATTTTCGGTCTTTGACCACTTGCTGGTGAGCTGATCTACTCACCTCCCACCGCTTTAGGAGCTGCATCTGCGCCTTGATCCTTGAAGGGTGGTGGCGTTCCTACTGATGTGGAAAACCCGGCTTCCAGCCGAGTCTCACGCGAACCGTGAATTTTTTTTTTTTTTTTCATAAACACTGACGAAAAACGTGACATTCTGAGAAAAAAATACGACCAGCAGGGCGATTTCGTGCTCGTTGCTAATTCAAGTGTCACCTAATGAGCGATGATCAGAATAATAGTAATAAAGTTATTAGCCCTTGCTTGTGTGTAAACGGCTAGCTTTAGCGTCGAACGATGCGAATGTAGGAGTACATGTAAGATGAGTTGTGCATTTCGTTTTGTATGAAGGTGAAATTACACACGCTTTGTTTTATTAGACGAGGGGGGGAGAGAGCCAAGGATTAATTTTCAGAAGAAAAGTGGACCAGGGAGCTACATGTTACGCTATACTATCCACTAGCACCACCAGTTACTTGACAAATAGCTCATGCGATAACAGTGCAGGACACTAACCAACGGTACAGACATTCTACACCTAACTGGCAATCAGGCCTAGCACATCTTGACTTTCAGCTCGTGCTTGTCCTGCTTGCGCCCAACTTCTCCTCTTTATGTAATTTCTAACGTTATAACTTAGAACCTTCCAATTTATACGGATGTTGGAGTGCGCATCGCAGATGTGCTAGAGCTGAGCTGATTGCCAGTACAGCTGCTCAGTGTCGTGCAAAGTTATCGCGTGAGTTGATTGTAAAGTAACTAGCGATGTATGTGGATATTGTAGCATAACTTGTAGCTCTTTGACTCTGGTGTACTCTGGTATAGTCATACGTACTGTGAACTTCAAGCACTGACAAATATCTGCACGTATTTGAGTATAATATACTCAAATACGTGCAGAGATTATCTGTGATATTATCAGATGATGCGAGGAATCTTTCAAGTTCATAAACAAAACATCCGTGCATGAGCAAGCTATTCATTCAATCCCTTCGCTGTCACAACAAATAGGAATCACATCCTTGTGACTCAGCTGTTAGTGTTCCTACCAAGACCGTCAGACGGGGTCAGCTGATATCCACTTCTAAATTCACGTATCGCCATACCAGCAACTGCCATGTTCACTGATGCTAGATATTTCGGAACTTAGAAACCGGACAAAAAGGCAATATAGGACGGCCCGCGGATGTTAATAATCTTGAGAAACGTGACGATATTGGCAGATGCCGTCTGCTGATTGCAATTGGGCAGTTGTTCATGACTTCCTCAGCAACAAAAACAATTGTCAAATACAATAGATAATATCGGCCACTGGTTCTGCACATCAACGTGTTTACATGTACACCTACATGCTAGTACACATGAGAGTGTCTGTGTACGTTGTAAGTGCCTGTGTGTGCGCATGGTTGTGCGTTCAAGTAAGTGTGTGTATGTGTGTGTTTCCGTGTGTATGGTACGTGTAAATGTAAGTTTATGTTTTTTGTGTACCGTTTGAATGTGTTTGTGGGTGTGACTGCCCAAATCAGGTAACGTGCTTGAATGACTGTTGATGGTGAAGGCAAGCATAGTGAATTTAGTAACAAAAGTGGAAAATTGAAATGAGCTTAGCCGGCCAGTGCTAGTTTCTGCAGACCTCTGTGAGACATTCTCTGCATAGCTCTTTGAGACATTCGCGCCGGCTAAATTTGTCTTGAAAGTGGGGGAAGGAGCTGGGAGTGTTGTGGATAAAGCTGTCGACTATTTTCCTTGAAGTGAATCCGCCACTAACAATTTGATTCAAGCCCAAGCAATGACAACTGGCAGGCGAAGGATGTTCCATTTTTTGCTGTTGATGCTGGCAATCTCTTCTCACCGGGCAAGCTCACAATGTGATACTCTCCGGTGTACCTGTGAGACAACAGGGGGAGTTACCTGCAATGGTCTTCCGGCATCGTTTCCTGTTAATATAAATAAAATGTAAGTATGATAAACTGATAGCTATTGATTATAAATACTCAATAGTATGTATGTCAGTAGTAATGACTGCAGCATTGCACATGTATTCGGACTGATTGAATGTTGCTGATAAATTTATTTTGATAACCGCAACAATAAGACAAGCTGAATCGACATTTGTGTACACTTTATTCATGCAATAGCCCTTGTCGGATTATGCCGGCATAATATTTGGCATAATCTTGGGATTTCGTCCAAAAAATATGCTCCGGCATAATATACGGATTCCAACGTGTAAGGTCGGCATAATCTTTCGGTTTAGACAAAAATTATGCTTAGGGCATGGCCGTGTGTGTATGCGTGGTTTCTCAATCCTCTATGTGCAGCGTGAATACATAGTGGAACCGAGCATAATTCAGCATAATTCAGCATATTTGTTGGCATAATTGTGGCATAATCATAAGCATAATTTGGCGATTGGCCGAGCATAGTCCGCCAATGGCTATCATGCAATGTAAAACGGTGGAGACAATGTGCAATAAAACGATAAAAATTTGTAGAGACAACTAAGGATTCAAAGCAAGTTTTCGTACAACACTCAATACGCACAGAGCGATCCTCACGAACTGCACAGTGACACCAGTCCCGGCGATGCATAAGAGCTGAACGCAGAGTTAGATGCGCTTAAGTTAACTATGCGGCGGAAGAGGCAGTTTGGTTGATGCTTCTGAAAGCGGCAGGTCTGCCAACTGAGGGCATTCACGATGAGCTGGACGAGCTCCAGAGAAAGTACGACGACGTGTTGGAGCGGACAAGCGAAGTGCTCGCCGAGATCTGCTCAGCACAGCCCAGTCGGGGAGGGAGATCTCCACTGACTCAAGCGGGCAGGTCCAGATCCACGATCACGCAGGAAGTACGGAAGATGTTGAAAAGTTCGGTGATCGTTGCTGAGACTGATGATGTGAATAAAAGAAGTGCACTATACAAAGAAGAAAAGGATAAATGTAAGCATACTGTACCAGAGCGGGAGTCGTACCAGGGACGTGTGAAGCAGCGCTCTTGCTGAGCAGTCTAACTGCCTCACCTACAATGAGTCCGAGTACTAAGAGTGTGGTTCCTGCCAGTTCTGCTACTGCTGCCAGTTCTGTTACTGCTGCCAGTTCTGTTACTGCTGCCAGTTCTGCTACTGCTGCCAGTTCTGTTACTGCTGCCAGTTCTGTTACTGCTGCCAGTTCTGTTACTGCTGCCAGTTCTGTTACTGCTGCCAGTTCTGCTATTGCTGCCAGTTCTGTTACTGCTGTGACAGCCAGCCGGAGTTAGGTGTCTGCTGGCAGTGCTGCTGTAACGTCGGAATTCCGGTATTGCTGGCAATGCTGCAACTGCAGGTATGAGGACGATTCCTGGAATGGTCACTATAGCTATCGGATTTGTCATCAACCACCACACCTTAACCTGCGCTCCCCATCCGTTTGGCACTGAATTCCTTCAAGCAGCTGTTTTGAGTATAAACTCTCTTCAATGAAGGTAGATATTGTAGAATGGGTAAGATAGTGAAAGGTTGAAAGGGTAAGCGTATTGCGCGGGAGGAGGCGCGAACATTAGGGCAAAGCAGAAGATACGAGTGCAAAAGACGGGGAAAAATTAACTTGTGAAAATGTGAAAACGTGATAATTATTAGGAACCAGGTGTGAATTGAGGCAGACAGCACAGCTTAGCAAGTAGCCACGCTGGAGGCTCCTGGGGAATTCACTCGGTGTACTCATTCCCCACACAGGACCTCACCATCGTCACGGTCATATTACAGGCATTCTTTGTTCAATGATACAGTAGCTTAGAAATGAAGTGTTACAAAACAGTTTTGAAAAAGCTGTGCTGTTTACCAAATTCACACCTGGTAATTAGCATCACGTTTTTACTTATCACCAGTTTATTGTTCACAGTGTTTTGCACTTGTATCTCTTGCTCATCACTAGTCTTCATGTGCGCGCATTTTTCTTGCCCCTCTCAGTACAACATTGCGCTTATTTATTTATTCATTTATTCACAATCACGTGGCACTAGCCAATGAAAAGGTGATGTGGGCGATAGCCAGCCATGGCGTTAATAGAGCTAGAGGGGAGAAAGAAAAAGAATGAAAGGGGAACTGAAAAGCAAGAGAAGCTAGGGCAGGGCTGGATATCAACTAGTATGTTGCATTCTGCAGTAGCTGTGTGAATGTATTGTAACATTGGCAGGGTTTTAGATGTTGTGGGAGGAGAGACCAATGGCGGTAAGCAAGGAAGAGAGGAGATGTTTGCATAGAGGCAGACCGCGCAATAGGGAAGCGGAGAGAGTTTCTGGTGCGCATGTCTTGAGATTGAGCAAGCCAGCTTAGGCAGGAGAGAGCATGAAGAGGAGCAATGCCCAGCTTAATTTTATGAATTGTCTGGCATGCCAAAAAACGCACGCGGACCGAGAGCGGCACAGCAGAAGCAAGGCGGTATAAGTCTGCGCTTGGAGTCAGGCGAGGAAGCCGAAATAATATTTTCAAAAGACGCCTATGCATAACTTCGAGTCGAGCAATCAGTGTTTTAGAAATGCCAGCCCAAATTATGCAGCAGTAATCAAAAATAGGCAGAATGTAAGATGTGTGAATAACATGGCGACAGTCGGTGTGGAGGTGGGTGATGTGTGCTTTTCACTATCTCAGCCCTTCTATAATATCTACCTAAACTGACGAGAGTTTTATACTCGAAACAGCTATATGAGGGAATTCAGTACCAAGGGATGTGTCGCTTTGCTGATGGCGTGCTGTAGCAGCGTCGTTTGTCGGTCGACTGTAGAGCGCAATTGTGCTGTGGTGGTTGATGAAAATCTGTACGGGAGCCAAGTGATGCTGAATTTACCCCTTTATCTAGCCCTCATCAGGTTTACCTCATGCTACATTTGGGAAAGGGAAACCAGACCAATGAAGATGTGAGTGTTAAAGGGGAAGTGCATCGATTTTTCGGGTAGGGTCCAGAAGAAAGACAATTTGATATCGGTTCGAATGGCGTATCTCTCGCTTCCATACGATAAGCCAAACTTGCCAAATCGTCAATTGTATGCTCACGTTGCCATAGCGACCAGCGCAGTGATGACGTATGAAAGGCTTAGCTCCTCCACAGAGAAGGTCGATGACTGCAGAAATTGGTCATTTTCAATTTTCTTATTGTATTCACGATGTGAAAGAAGGGCTGTGTTCAATGCTGTTAGTGCCGTGAACTATTTATCGCTCTTCTCATGCATTTCCCTAGGCTGACTGTGCCTAGGAAATGGTTTCCTCCAGGACAAGATGCTTGGAATTCGCCATCTCTCCTGAGACATTT